CAGGTTGGTAGCCATGGCTGTGGGTCACATTGGAGGGCTTGGGGGTACGACAGGTTGGTAGCCATGGGTGGTCATGCCGGAGGGCTCGGGAGTACGGCAGGTTGGTAGCCATGGGTGGTCACGCCAGAGGGCTCAGAGGTACAGCAGGTTGGTAGCCATGGCTGTGGGTCACGTCAGAGGGCTCAGGGGTACGGCAGGTTGGTAGCCATGGGTGCGAATCACACCGGAGGACTCAGAGGTACAGCAGGTTGGTAGCCGTGGGTGCAGGTCATGCCGGAGGGCTTGGGGGTACAGCACGTTAGTAGCCATGGCTGTGGGTCACGTCGGAGGGTTCACAGGTACAGCAGGCTGGTAGCCATGGCTGTGGGTCACGTCGGAGGGCTCAGGGGTACGGCAAGTTGGTAGCTATGGCTGTGGGTCACGTCGGGGGGCTTGGTGGTACAGCAGGTTGGTAGCCATGGGTGCAAGTCATGCTGGAGGGCTCAGAGGTATGGCAGGTTGGTAGCCATGGGTGGTTGCGCCAGAGGGCTCAGGGGTACGACAGGTTGGTAGCCACGGGTGCAGGTCACACCAGAGGGCTCAGGGGTATGGCAAGGTTGGTAGCCATGGCTGTGGGTCACTCCGGAGGGCTTCGGGGTACGGCAGGTTGGTAGCCATGGGTGGGAATCACACCGGAGGACTCAGAGGTACAGCAGGTTGGTAGCCGTGGGTGCAGGTCATGCCGGAGGGCTTGGGGGTACAGCACGTTAGTAGCCATGGCTGTGGGTCACGTCGGAGGGTTCACAGGTACAGCAGGCTGGTAGCCATGGCTGTGGGTCACGTCGGAGGGCTCAGGGGTACGGCAAGTTGGTAGCTATGGCTGTGGGTCACGTCGGGGGGCTTGGTGGTACAGCAGGTTGGTAGCCATGGGTGCAAGTCATGCTGGAGGGCTCGGGAGTATGGCAGGTTGGTAGCCATGGGTGGTCACACTGGAGGGCTCAGAGGTATGTCAGGTTGGTAGCCATGGCTGTGGGTCACGTATGGCAGGTTGGTAGCCACGGCTGTAGGTCATGTCTGAGGGCTCAGAGGTATGGCAGGTTGGTAGCCTTCAGAGGTACAGCAGGCTGGTAGCCATGGCTGTGGGTCACGTCGGAGGGCTCACAGGTACAGCAGGCTGGTAGCCATGGCTGTGGGTCACGTCGGAGGGCTCACAGGTACAGCAGGCTGGTAGCCATGGCTGTGGGTCACGTCGGAGGGCTCACAGGTACAGCAGGCTGGTAGCCATGGCTGTGGGTCACGTCGGAGGGCTCACAGGTACAGCAGGCTGGTAGCCATGGCTGTGGGTCACGTCGGAGGGCTCACAGGTACAGCAGGCTGGTAGCCATGGCTGTGGGTCACGTCGGAGGGCTCACAGGTACAGCAGGCTGGTAGCCATGGCTGTGGGTCACGTCGGAGGGCTCACAGGTACAGCAGGCTGGTAGCCATGGCTGTGGGTCACGTCGGAGGGCTCACAGGTACAGCAGGCTGGTAGCCATGGCTGTGGGTCACGTCGGAGGGCTCACAGGTACAGCAGGCTGGTAGCCATGGCTGTGGGTCACGTCGGAGGGCTCACAGGTACAGCAGGCTGGTAGCCATGGCTGTGGGTCACGTCGGAGGGCTCACAGGTACAGCAGGCTGGTAGCCATGGCTGTGGGTCACGTATGGCAGGTTGGTAGCCATGGGTGCGAATCACACCGGAGGACTCAGAGGTACAGCAGGTTGGTAGCCGTGGGTGCAGGTCATGCCGGAGGGCTTGGGGGTACAGCACGTTAGTAGCCATGGCTGTGGGTCACGTCGGAGGGCTCACAGGTACAGCAGGCTGGTAGCCATGGCTGTGGGTCACGTCGGAGGGCTCACAGGTACAGCAGGCTGGTAGCCATGGCTGTGGGTCACGTCGGAGGGCTCACAGGTACAGCAGGCTGGTAGCCATGGCTGTGGGTCACGTCGGAGGGCTCACAGGTACAGCAGGCTGGTAGCCATGGCTGTGGGTCACGTCGGAGGGCTCACAGGTACAGCAGGCTGGTAGCCATGGCTGTGGGTCACGTCGGAGGGCTCACAGGTACAGCAGGCTGGTAGCCATGGCTGTGGGTCACGTCGGAGGGCTCACAGGTACAGCAGGCTGGTAGCCATGGCTGTGGGTCACGTCGGAGGGCTCAGAGGTACAGCAGGTTGGTAGCCATGGCTGTGGGTCACGTCAGAGGGCTCAGGGGTACGGCAGGTTGGTAGCCATGGGTGCGAATCACACCGGAGGACTCAGAGGTACAGCAGGTTGGTAGCCGTGGGTGCAGGTCATGCCGGAGGGCTTGGTGGTACAGCAGGTTGGTAGCCGTGGGTGCAGGTCATGCCGGAGGGCTTGGTGGTACAGCAGGTTGGTAGCCATGGCTGTGGGTCACGTCGGAGGGCTCAGGGGTACGGCAAGTTGGTAGCTATGGCTGTGGGTCACGTCGGGGGGCTTGGTGGTACAGCAGGTTGGTAGCCATGGGTGCAAGTCATGCTGGAGGGCTCGGGAGTATGGCAGGTTGGTAGCCATGGGTGGTCACACTGGAGGGCTCAGAGGTATGTCAGGTTGGTAGCCATGGCTGTGGGTCACGTATGGCAGGTTGGTAGCCATGGGTGGTTGCGCCAGAGGGCTCAGGGGTACGACAGGTTGGTAGCCACGGGTGCAGGTCACACCAGAGGGCTCAGGGGTATGGCAAGGTTGGTAGCCATGGCTGTGGGTCACATTGGAGGGCTTGGGGGTACGACAGGTTGGTAGCCATGGGTGGGTGCGCCAGAGGGCTCAGGGGGACGACAGGTTGGTAGCCATGGGTGGGTGCGCCAGAGGGCTCAGGGGGACGACAGGTTGGTAGCCATGGCTCTGGGTCACATTGGAGGGCTTGGGGGTACGACAGGTTGGTAGCCATGGGTGGTCATGCCGGAGGGCTCGGGAGTACGGCAGGTTGGTAGCCATGGGTGGTCACGCCAGAGGGCTCAGAGGTACAGCAGGTTGGTAGCCATGGCTGGAGGTCATGCGGGAGGGCTCGGGGGTACAGCAGGCTGGTAGCCATGGCTGGAGGTCACATCGTAGGGCTCGGAGGTACAGCAGGTTGGTAGCCATGGCTGTGGGCCCTGCGTTGTGGCAGGAGTGAGGGGGGTCCCGAGCACAGGGATGAGGTGATGGAGGATGCTTCATGCAAGGCCTGGCCATGCTCCCTGTGTCTGCTCCTTTCGAGATGCTGGTCCCAGGCTGGTCATGAATTCCCCGCGACCGGTTTCTACTTTGCTCAGTGCCTGTTTTAAACCAAATAATAAATCACAGCTTCCAGCGCCCTGGCCAGTAAGCCTCCCTGTGCTGACTGGGTTTACAGGCTGCTGTGGTCCTTTTCTCTTCCTGGAGCTCTCTGCTCCACTTCATCGCTTGCCAGGCTGAGGAGGGACCCGCACATCCCTTCTCTCTCGAGCACTGACAGCCCCAGCCCTTGTCCTCTGGTGTTTTTAGCCTCACAGACACAAAGAAGGTTCTTTCATTGGTGTCCTGTCTGTAGAAGGAGCTTAGTTTAGATCATGTAAAGGGGTCAGGGGAGAGTTGCTGTCCCACAAGTGAGCCAGGTTAAAAAGTGACCCTCCTGGACACCCCATGGCCCGTCCAGCCGACAGACGGGGTGAGTGCCAGCCGTCTCTTCCAGGATGACTAAAGCCCTGCTGGAAAAGGATGGTGTGAACTGGCGCCAGAAGCTCCCGCCAATCCCTGCAGTCCCTGTTTCTGCCCAGACGAGGTGGAGCGTTCCTTCTGCTGGAGCCCCCGGGGCAAACCCTCCTCCTGCCACTGCTCCGAAGGGAGAACCAGGTGAGAGCGAGCCCTGGGGCCGGGCACGGAGCCCCGTGGCTGGGAAGGGTGATGGAGGAGGCAGCCACCCCACCTGCTTGGCGTGTCTGCAGCTGGGGCTGAGGCAGGAAAAACCCAGGCCTGGTTCTGCCACAGCCTTTTTGGTTGATTCTGGCTCCTTTGATGTCTCTGTGTCTCACCTCTGGTATGGGGATATTTGCTTTCCGAGAGGCTGCGCTGATCTTGTCAGTTTTATAGCATTCTGTGTTCTTTCATGCTGTTTCCAGACCGGACTGGTGCTGGCACGGAGAGAGCTCGAGCTCTGAAAGAAGAAGGAAATGAACTTGTAAAGAAAGGAAACCATAAAAAAGCAGTGGAGAAGTACAGTGAGAGTTTACAGCTCAACCAGGAATGTGCGACCTACACCAACAGGTACCACTCGGCTCTGTGCCCAACTCCTTCCTGGCCCTTTCTAAAAGCCCCCATGGTACTCCTGGCAGAGCTGTCTAATGTTTGCTCCCAAACAAATGAATAAACAAAAACACCCACACGTTTGCCCCAAGTGCAGTCCTCCCTGTAGTTTGTATAACATTCTTTGATCAAGTACTGCAAAAACTCCTGGAGACACTCTGCTTAGGGCTGCTGAGGGTTTTTCCCCCTTTACTGCTCGTCTGCCGGGACTGTGGTATTTTGAGTAGTGTCTGTTGCCCTATGAACCACAAAATCAGAGTATATTCTGGACTGGTGTAGCTAGGAACATGCATCCTGGGAGTGCAGGTCCTTAGCTTTAGAGCAGGTTGCTCTAAAAATCCTCCTTTATTCAGTCTGAAAAACCCTTTTCTTTTTTTCACTGTTACAACTGAAAAAAACCTTAAGCTGAAGAAATAAGATTACATTCCATATGAGGACAAAGACCGGTTTTGGAGTCCAGCTTTGTTCTGTGCAGGCTGGAGTAGTAGATGCTGCTTTTATCCAAGGGTCTCTAACCAGGTGTGTGTTGCAGAGCTCTCTGTTACCTGACCCTGAAGCAATACAAGGACGCAGTGCAGGACTGCACGGAAGCTCTGAGGTTAGATCCTAAAAACGTTAAGGCGCTCTACAGACGTGCTCAAGCACTTAAAGAACTGAAGGTAAGTCAGGAGTTTTTGAACAGTTATAAGCCAGGATGAGAAGCTTGTTCATGCATGATCAGGGCAAGAGATCCCTTCAGAACCCATTTTTGTGCTAGACAGCATCTGCCCCCGGATAGCTGGGACTGGGGGGGGAATTTTCTTTCACATCACTATTTGCTGGTTGGATCTTGTGAGTTTTCTCAGGTCCTGTTTCTGGAGATGCTGGCAGCAGCTCTATGTTGCATTGAGCTTTTTGTGTCTGGTGAGAGATTCTCTAGGCAGGACTGGAAGACTTAATGCACTGGTGTTGGACTCAGGACCCACTTGAGTGATGAAATTGTCTTTGCCCTAGTTTAAGCATGTTTTAGAACAGCTACACTGATGACAATGCTTAAGCAATTATACAGAGGGAGTCATGGGCTTAGTTGTGTTGTGGGGTAGTGATTCTGCAATAAGACCCTTAGATTGTAGTTTCAATGTCATAACACTTAAAAAAACACATTCTTCTTCTAGGATTACAAATCAAGTATTGCTGATATCAAGAGCTTGTTGAAAACTGAACCAAAGAACACAGCTGCACTGAGATTGCTGCAAGAACTGAACAGAGCCTAGAGTAACCAAGCAACAAGCACAGCCTTGTTTTTCACTGCAGAAGAAAGCTTTTTTCCCTTCTGATGTTGTTACAGGGACCAGTCTTAATGCAGGATCGGTGTCGAGATACATCTTCCACGGCAGCTGAGATGTAACAGGTCCTGTGCCAGCACAGTCAATGTTAAGACACACAATCTATATCAAACTCACTCTATATCTGGCTCTAAGATGATTCAAAGATTTAAGAGTGATGAAATTGTCTTCGCCCTAGTTTAAGCATGTTTTAGAACAGCTACACTGATGACAGTGCTTAAGCAATTATACAGAGGGAGTCATGGGCTTAGTTGTGTTGTGGGGTAGTGATTCTGCAATAAGACCCTTAGATTGTAGTTTCAATGTCATAACACTTAAAAAAATACATTCTTCTTCTAGGATTACAAATCAAGTATTGCTGATATCAAGAGCTTGTTGAAAACTGAACCAAAGAACACAGCTGCACTGAGATTGCTGCAAGAACTGAACAGAGCCTAGAGTAACCAAGCAACAAGCACAGCCTTGTTTTTCACTGCAGAAGAAAGCTTTTTTCCCTTCTGATGTTGTTACAGGGACCAGTCTTAATGCAGGATCAGTGTCGAGATACATCTTCCACTGCAGCTGAGGTGTAACAGGTCCTGTGCCAGCACAGTCAATGTTAAGACACACAATCTATATCAAACTCCACTATCTGGCTCTAAGATGATTCAAAGATTTAATGCCTCTCCCTGAGAGGCATCTAGGTTAACTTCCCTGGTTGAAGTCAACTCACCTATAACTCTTGGCCTCAGGGACTCTCCCCGTGCTGGCTAAGATGCGTGTGAAGTGGCTGTTCTCCTTCTGAAGAGCTATAACCAGAGGGGTTTTTTAGTCCTTATTCAGGTGACAGTTTTGCTGCATTTGTGCTGCTATTACTTAAGTAAAGTTGCTGCAGGAGCTCTGCAGTTGCCCCAGCACCACGTACTGTTCTTGTAACAGAGAGACAGTTACCTGCACAGGGCTGGGCTTGTTCCCTCTCCCCCTTGACGCCTGCTGGCCCTGGGCTGAGTTTCTGCTGCTTCCTGTGTCTGGGCAGATATTTGCAGTAGCAGCTTTCTTTTATTTTTAATTATTCTGCACATTTAAGAAAACAGCAGCAAGTTGAGCCTGCCTTGTCACACTGTGCACTACTTCTTTGAGATTCTGGGTGCTTGGGAATTTTACAATTGTTTTTTTTGTGTTGTTTTTTGTGTTGTGGTTTGTTTGGTTGGTTTTTTTTTAAACAAACACTTTAGCTCCTCTGTGCCTTTTGGAACAGTTGCTACGGGGTGTTGCAGGGTGGAAGATAGGCAGTAACATCCCAGCTGAGGTCTGGCTTATTACTTCAATGCATGTTTATACTTTTTGATCTTATCTGGTATTGGTGGCACTGACTTAAAATGGTAGGTAAAGAGACATTTGGAGTTATGCTATGAACTGTTAAAACCAGTTCTCATTAAAGCCATGTTTATTTTCACTTTAGAGCTGTGTTTTTTTCCGTGATGGATGGTATAGAGGGCAATTGGAACACTTTAACCACTTGACTTCATGCTGTCTCTCCTTTTTGTCAGAGGGCTCCAAGCACTGCTGTACAAGGCCTTGCTTTGGAAGCCATCCATCAGCTGGTGACAATAGATCAGGTCTGCAACCATGGCTGACCCTGGCACACCGTGCATGGGTAGAGTGCTTTAACTGGTAAATCAGGATGCTGGACAATCCTAGACATCCGTACAGGCCAGGAGACAGAAGCTGGCCCATAAGCCAGGGTTCACACATCTCTGTTTCCCAGACTTCTCCCAGCAGTTGGTGTTTCAGGCAGGTACCCCACTGAACTGAATTTAGAAAGCAATCCCTCTAATGGCATTAAAGACAAAGACTTCTTGCCTTCGCCTGACATTAAGTAGCTGTTTGTAGGTCCCAGGGCTGTACTCCATCAGCCGCAATGGACCAGGACTTGGAACAACTCATCCCTGAGGGGCACGAATTGCTCCACTCACTCCACTCCCACTTCTGAGGCCACAGCTCCATCGATCCCACAGGCAGCGCTGCCCCAGCTCCTGCCCAGCCAGGAGGAGGGATTTCAGGGAGATTTCAGCACAGTACACAGATAAGCAGAGGATGGTCACAGGATACAGGAGGGAGACTGGCTTCACTGAGTTAAGAGCTATCCTTTGAAGAGCCTTGCTGTTATCTGGAGTGGCAGACACCTGCCCTGTTCAACCACAGTTCATTACAACACCTCTAAGCAACAACATTCACCACCTCCTTCCCCTCTCAGTGTGGTTTTGTACCTTATATCTGAGACTTTCCCCAGCAATACCACCAGGTAGGCAAAGATCAAGACACACTAACCCAAGGGTCATCTCAGCTCCCACCTCCCCTGCTGCTGGCCCTGCAGGACACTGCCCAGACAGTGCTGTCCCCATGGGCAGCCGGGGAGCACTTGTCAGAGGCACAGCTTCACACACCCCTTCCAAAAGCCACAGCAACTATTCCAGACCTGACACTCCAGACTCACATTTGCATTGCTGCTCTTGCCTCAGTTCCCTAAAGCCTCAGGCTGCCCCAAGGAGTTCAGCCAGGGAGCTGCTCTGAAAGCTTTCCAGTATCCTCCAGTGCACATGGGGATGCCGCTTTGTGGGAAAGTAACAGAAGATTGATGAGGAGGACTCTAAGTAAGTCCTCCTCAAGTGGAGGTGCTCACTTGTGGGGTGCTGGAAAACACATCTATCACACTAATTGTTGCTTAGTTTTGTGTGCTCAACAAGTAGAACATCTGCACTCAGATAACATAGTCCCGGGATGGACTCAGGGCACCTTATCGAACACGCCTGAGATTCCTGCCCTGCTGTTGAAGAGATCAAAGCACAGCAGAAAGCTCTGCCTGCCAGAATCCTTGAAATACAGGCCCAAAAAGCAAGTGGGAGCTCCCTCACTCCCTTGCTAACAAGGACTCTCATGCTAATAAGGACTCTCCCTCCACAGTGCCTGCGTCCCCTGCTTGCCTGCCTCTGCCCAGGTGCTGCTCCAGAGGTCCCCTGATCCATGAGGTATTGACATTAAATTTGTTCTTTGCCCTTAATCTATGGTTTTGTGGTCGTTCCTGCCTCCTGCCTGCATTGGCTCACACAAGCTCCAACCTCACCTTTTCTTTAAAAACCTTGGTCTTCATTCACATCTTTTCTTGGGCTTCGCTGATGTCCCTGTGTTCCTTGGCCCCACTCTGAATTCCCTGTAGCTTTACGGCTGTCTTCTCAAGCCAGGACATCTGGCATTGCAGGTGGTGTCACAGACACAGCTGAACTTGCCTGTCTTGCAAGCCAATTTGCCTTGAACTTGCAACCTGAATAAAGGCTGCAGACAAGCTAGCCAACAGCCAAATGAAAGTTTACCCATACAGTTCTATTCCAGCTCCTTGTATGCATTACACTCATGCAAATATACATTTTCCCTCTAGAAACAAAGCATAAAATCTTCCAGCTAGTTACACTTGGGAAGAAATAATATAAAGGGCCTTCATTTAATTTTTTAAGTGAGTTAAAGTCCTTCATAAGTGTCTGAGAAGGAGACATCTAAGTAGTGCACAGCCAAGGCATCACCCACTGTGAGGAAAAGAAATGTTTAAGGAGAGGGGAGGAAAAATTCGCCAAAAAAAAAAAAAAGGCAAGAAAAAGGAATGATGAAGAGCCCCAGCAGAGCAGAACAGACACCACGCAGGAGCAAATGTGTAAGTGATTCTGTTAAAATGCTGGAAGGCAAACAGGAGGTAGGAGGGGTGACTCAGCAGCGAGAGCATGATACAGCACGAAGGAAGGATGAGCCGGCAGCACACAGGTTGGACAGAGAGAAGGTAGGTGGTGCTGATGGAGGTGTGCTCCTGCCAGCCCTAGGAATCAGTCAAGTAAGGTCAATACTTCGTGCCAGTCCCAAGGAGCCTCTAGGGACTGAAATTCCTTTCCTAAATAGGAAGAGCAGAACATCAAGGCCAGGGTGACGATAGCAACGTGCTCTGGGAGAGGCTCAGGGAGCAGAACACAGAAATAATGGGTCCCAGCTACTCCTGCGAGTGTCCCAGTGGGATGCACTGGATTATGAACGTTTTCAGACCCATCAGTGGCTGCTTGAAACCCCTGGTCAGGAACACACACTGGGAAAGCAGCTTTTGATTTACAGCTGCTCCATCCATAATACCTCAAAAGCCGTGTCTCGCACACCACAGACACACACACAGCGTGGTGACCAGCAGAAGACGTGTCTCGCACACCACAGACACACACAGCGTGGTGACCAGCAGAAGACACTCAGTGCCAGTACTCCTGTAGGCATACATGGTCCATTACAAAAGGAGAACCCCAGGAAGATGATGACTTTTAAAAAGGAATTTAAAAATGGCTAGCTGGAAAGGATAGAATCCAAGTAGATGGTATGAAATTTGCTTAAAGCCATCCTCCTAGAGAGTCAGAAAGGATCAGGAGAACCTGTGGGATGGCAATTTGTTGATTTAATTCCACATGTCCCTTCCTGTCAGCTCTTGGGACTGCTGCCTCACCAGCATCACAAGCTTCAAACACTAATTACAGCAGCCCAACCTGAGTCCATCCCTCCACCTGCATGAAATAGAGGAAAAGTATTTGCTGCCTTTCTGCAAGGGGAACCAACCCATGCTTTGGGGGTGGAAGCATCAGCTTTTTATTAGTGTGAGCTACAGGAACAAATAAAACTACAGAACCCAGTAAATTCACTAAAAGTGATGATTCATCAGCACTTGTCATTTCCCGGGCAACTGAACCAGGCTGGGTTCCACACTACGTTTCACAAGATCCTTCCAGTAGCCAGAAGAGAATTAACATGGGGATTATTTTTTTGTTACAGGTGCAGGAGGAAGCAATTCTGCAAGGTTTACAATACACAAGAAAAAAAAAGAGAAACGGGCATTGAAGACAAACCAGGGTCACTGTATGGGCACTATTCCAGAAGCACGGTGGGGTTGCTGCTGCTGTTCTTCAAAGGCAATGTTCACAGGGCTCACGTTCAGTCCCGAGATCTACAAAAAACACCCAAAACCCAAAGAACCCACATACGCATTTCTCAGCTGCTAAAGGAACAACTTCATCCAGAGAAGAATTCACCTGAACTTGGATTAACACAGTTTCCTTGTGACCACAAGTCAAGAAAAT